TATCCACACGGATGACCCGGGATCGATCCCCCTCAATGTCTTCTGTGTCGAGCCTGTCGCATAGGGCTTGCCTAGTGCGGTTTACATCCCCTGTGTGGTTTGTAGGTTATTACACAGTGGGGGTTTACCCAGTGCGCACAAAGTGCTCACCACAGAGTGCTCACCCGAAGGGTAGAGGTTGTGGCAAAGGTTGTAGCGGCTGCGGGTTATCCTGGGGTTCCAAAAAAAAAAACAGCCACTTTATTCAGGTTAAATTTAGTTTGTGTGCCCACATTCAACAACAATATCATCAAAATTTCTCTGTAAATATTTTCAAAAGATTCAAATTTGTTATGTCTGCTTAAAATTGTCATCGAATTTGCTTTCTGATTCATATGTTTTTGTTTATGTTGCCATATGCAACAACGGCATTATTCTTAAAAATCAGTACAAATGTTGTCCCACAATATATGTAGAAGTTCCATATGGTGAGTCTCCTATTTATTATTGTTATTGTTATTGTAGTTATTTATTTTCTATTGATTCCTCAATTAAAATTCTGGATGAAGATGTTTTAGTAGATCTTTTTTATAATTATTAAAATGTGCTAAAGAATAAGAAAATCAAGTGCACACATCAATGGTATTTCAAAATTTTATCCAATATTGTAGCAACAAACTGATATGATATTTAAATTTAAATTTGAACGAAATTTGAATTGACATGAAGATCCATTCCTTCAGCGATATATACATCGTTGCAACCAAAATAACAAAAAGCATAATTTTTTTTAATTTTTTTCAGTTTTTAAATGTTAGTAACCAATTAAATAATTGCTAATTGCTAATGTTGAAAATAAAAATAAGGAAAAAATGCATAAAAAATTGAAGGATAAGACTTGTTTGAAGTTGAATTGATCCAGATTCACATACAAAATTTAAAATTATGTATTCTTAAAATGGAGATAAGATGAATATTTCTTTTGTTGTTAAAAAAAAAACCAAATTATTTCTCATTTGAGAAGACATATGAAATTTTGTTGAGGATTTAAGAGATAAACATATTTCAATCCTAATAGATTCAACTACACAAATATTTAAATGGACTAATATAAGTTATTGCGATTATTATGTGCTTAACTTTATTCTTAGAACATTCAATTTTGATTTGTTACATGATGCTTTTTTTGACTCGGATGTTACGAGCTTATACATAAATTGAATTGAAGTAACAATTTCTGAATTTGATATGCATGTTATTGTTGCTTCTTGGATCAAAGCGTTACGTTGTGCACTCATTCTAAACACGTTAGTGAGGATCTATTAACCATTTGTTTATTTGAGAAGAATTTATCTGATTATAGTTGCTTGATATATACAATTTACTTTTTTTTTTTAAAAAGTTTGTTAAACATCTATAAATATTTTTTTAGCATTTATCGTATAGTGGGCTGTTTTCTCACTTTGTTACTATGTAATTGCTATAAAAGATTTTCTATCTACAATATATGACACAATTGCTACAAAACTCATAAAGTTTTTTTGGTACAAACTAAAAGGAAACTATGACATAAAAATTAGTTTCAAAAATTATATTTGATGAGTGCATTTAAAATTTAATAATAATTTTGTAATTGAATATATTGTATAGAAAAATAAGATGATAATTAGATATTTTTGAACTCAATATGTCCTAATGTATTTAACCAAATAAAATCATAGTCAGAAGTTAACATAGTAAAATTGTACATCGCACGGGCACGAATACTAATTTCATTGTAACAAGCAAATAGAGAAAAAAAATTATTATGAACAAATAAAAACAAATATTTTTTTTCCACAAGTTGTGTAATGATTATTGAAGATGCTTCAATTTTTTTAATCTTTTCTCAATATATATTTTCCACAAGTTGTGCAGTGATTGTTGAAGTTGCTTTATTTTTTTAAGACTTTTCTCTATATGTGTTTTTCCCCAAGTTGTATAATGGTTGTTGAAGATGCTTTAATTAAAAAAATTTACCTTTTGTTTAGTGGAAAATTTCAAAAAGGCTTTAATACAAAATTTAAAATTATGTATTCTTAAAATGGAGATAAGATGAATATTTTTTTTGTTGTTCAAAAAATAACAAATTATTTCTCATTTGAGAAGACAGATGAAATTTTGTTGAGGATTTAAGAGATAAACATATTTCAATCCTAATAGATTCAACTATACAAATATTTAAATGGACTAATATAAGTTATTGCGATTATTATGTGCTTAACTTTACTCTTAGAACATTCAATTTTGATTTATTACATGATGCTTTATTTGACTCGGATGTTACAAGCGTATACATAAATTGAATTAAAGTAACAATTTCTGAATTTGATATGCATGTTATTGTTGCTTCTTGGATCAAAGCATTACGTTGTGCACTCATTCTAAACACGTTAATGAGGACCTATGAAATATTTGTTTATTTGAGAAGAATTTATCTGATTATAGTTGCTTGATATATACAATTTACTTTTTTTTTTAAAAAAGTTTGTTAAACATCGATAATTATTTTTTTAGCATTTATTGTATAGCGGGCTGTTTTCTCACTTTGTTCTATCTAAAATATATGACACAATTGCTACAAAATTCATAAAGTCTTTTTGGTACAAACTAAAAGGAAACTATGAGATAAAAATTAGTTTAAAAAATTATATTTGATGAGTGTATTTAAAATTTATTTTCTTTAAATTTAATAATAATTTTGTAATTGAATATATTATATAGAAAAATAAAATGATAATTAGATATTTTTGAACTCAATATGTCCTGATGTATTTAACCAAATAAAATCACAGTCATAAGTTAACATAATGAAACCGCGCATCAGACGGGCACGGATACTAATATCATTGTAACAAGCAAAGAGAAAAAAAATAAAATAATTATTATGAACAAATAAAAACAAATATTTTTTTTCCACAAGTTGTGTAATGATTGTTGAAGATGCTTCAATTTTTTTAATCTTTTCTCAATACATATCTTCCACAAGTTGTGCAGTGATTGTTGAAGTTGCTTTCTTTTTTTAAGACTTTTCTCTATATGTGTTTTTCCCCAAGTTGTATAATGGTTGTTGAAGATGCTTTAATTAAAAAAAATTACCTTTTGTTTAGTGGAAAATTTCAAAAAGCTTTAATACATCTTTGTCCTTTTATCCAATGGTAATTCTTTATTCAGAAACCACATGGTCATGTTTCGTTTTTTTCTAATCTTAAATCACATACGTGATAAGTGGACCCTTTCAACAAATTATTAATTTGAGGTCTTACTTTTATGTGTATCACCCATTTTCCAATATACATACAGCCTCCTCTTTTTTTCAATCAAAACTAGTTATTCCTAAAGATGGCTGATGCCTTTGTGTCATTTGCAGTTCAAAAATTGGGTGATTTCCTCATTCAACAAATTTCCCTGCTTACAATTCTGAGAGATGAAGTTACATGGCTGAGAAATGAGCTACTCTTCATACAGTCTTTCCTCAGAGATGCAGAACAAAAGCAAAGCGGAGATCAAAGAGTTCAACAATGGGTGTTTGAGATCAACTCTATTGCTAATGATGCTGTTGCTATACTCGAGACTTACACCTTTGAGGCTGGTAAAGGTGCTACTCGTCTCAAGGCTTGCGCTTGCATATGTAGGAAGGAGAAGAAATTCTACAATGTTGCCAAGGAGATCCAATCGCTCAAGCAACGAATCATGGATATCTCTCGCAAACGAGAGACTTATGGTATTACAAATATCAATAGTACTAATTCAGGAGAAGGGCCAAGTAATCAGGTTAGAACATTGAGGAGAACTACCTCATATGTGGATGACCAGGATTACATTTTTGTTGGACTTCAGGATGTTGTACAAAAATTGCTAGCTGAACTTCTCAAAGCAGAGCCTCGTCGAAGCGTATTCTCCATTTATGGAATGGGTGGTTTAGGCAAGACCACTCTTGCGAGAAACCTCTACACCAGTCCTGATATACTCAATAGCTTCCATACACGCGCTTGGATATGTGTTTCGCAAGAGTACAACACCATGGATCTTCTTAGGAATATCATAAAATCCGTCCAAGGTCGCACCAAGGAAACTCTAGATTTGTTGGAAAGGATGACAGAAGGAGATCTAGAAATTTATCTTCGTGATCTATTAAAACAACGCAAATACCTTGTGGTGGTTGATGATGTATGGCAGAAAGAAGCATGGGAGAGTTTGAAAAGAGCATTCCCGGATAGCAAGAATGGCAGCAGAGTCATTATTACCACGCGCAAAGAGGATGTCGCTGAAAGAGAAGACGAAAGAGGTTTTGTTCATAAACTTCGTTTCCTAAGCCAAGAAGAAAGCTGGGATCTCTTTTGTAGGAAACTACTTGATGTTCGAGCAATGGTTCCAGAAATGGAAAGTCTAGCTAAGGATATGGTGGAAAAGTGTAGAGGCTTACCTCTTGCAATTGTTGTATTGAGCGGACTACTTTCGCATAAAAAGGGGCTAAACGAATGGCAAAAGGTGAAAGATCACCTTTGGAAGAACATTAAAGAAGATAAATATATTGAAATCTCCAACATACTATCATTAAGCTACAATGATTTGTCAACTGCGCTCAAGCAGTGTTTTCTCTACTTTGGTATTTTTCCAGAAGATCGAGTGGTCAGGGCTGATAACATAATACGGTTGTGGATGGCGGAGGGTTTCATACCCAGAGGAGAAGAAAGAATGAAGGCTTCTTGAATGAACTGATAAGACGAAGCTTGGTTCAAGTGGCTAATACATTTTGTGAAAGAGTTACTGAATGTAGGGTTCATGATTTACTCCATGATCTTGCGATACAAAAGGCATTGGAGGTAAACTTCTTTGACATTTATGATCCAAGAAGCCACTCCATATCCTCTTTATGTATCAGACATGGCATTCACAGTCAAGGAGAAAGGTACCTCTCACTTGATCTTTCTAACTTAAAGTTGAGGTCAATTATGTTCTTCGATCCCGATTTACGTAAGATGAGTCATATAAACTTCAGGAGTGTGTTCCAACATTTATATGTGTTGTACTTGGGTATACCTGCTGGGAATTTGTCTGTAGTATTTGTACCTGATGCCATTGGAAGTTTGTACCACCTCAAGTTCTTAAGCTTGAAAGGTATCCGTGATGTTCCCTCTTCCATTGGCAACCTCAAGAATCTACAGACACTTGTTGTCAATGTGGACGGATACACTTGCAAACTACCCCGCGAGACAGCTGACCTGATAAATTTAAGACATTTACTTGCTCCGTACTATTCAAAACCTCTGGTACATATAAGCAACCTCACTAGTCTTCAAGTTCTTAAAGGTGTTGGTTGTGATCAATGGAAAGATGTTGATCCTGTTGATTTAGTCAATCTTCGAGAATTAAGCATGGATGATATTAAGAAATCTTACTCCCTAACCAACATTAGGAGCTTGGAAAACCTTAGCTCTCTCAGATTGTTTTGTGGAAGTGGTGAATCATTCCCAGACCTTGAATTTGTTAATTGTTGTGAAAAGCTCCAGATATTGAGGTTATATGGGAGAATGGAGAAACTGCCTGATCATCTGTTTCCCAATTCCATCACAATGATGGTTCTGAATTTCTCAGTACTGACAGAAGATCCGATGCCTATTTTGGGAATGTTGCCAAACCTAAGGAATCTCGATTTGCTTAGAGCTTATGAAGGAAAAGAAATAATGTGTTGTGATAACAGCTTCAGTCAACTAGAGTTCCTTATTCTTCGTAAACTTGAGAAGCTAGAAAGATGGGATTTAGGCACAAATGCCATGCCTCTGATTAAAGGTCTTGGTGTCCATGACTGTCCAAATTTAAAGGAGATTCCTGAGAGAATGAAATACGTGGAACTGTTGAAGAGTAATTATTATTATACGGATTGATGGGCCAAGCACTTGAAGACATTGGTTATTTATTTCAGGGCTGTCAATGAGAGTGGTTGTAGTGTTTGATTTCTTATTATTGTTTTAAGCTTTTTGAGTGAGTGTAGTTGGTTTGAACATTATTGTTTTAATTAATTGACTAAAAGCTACATCTGTTGCAGTTTCTGTGCCATCGCCACGGACTTCAATTTCATGGTCATCTGGATAGATTGAGAAGCATAACATACACTTCTTTAGCTGAGCATCATAGCTAATTAGTTTGCAAAGAAGCCATTACAGAGATATTTCTTTCACTATCCGATACCAATTTCTCTCGAAATTAGTTTTCACATATCCCCGAGTGAATGTGGTTTTGATGATAACATCCCACCTGTGGTCTTGATGGCTAGAGGAAGACCATGAGTACATTTATGCACGATCTCTCTTCCAATTTAGTTGACAAAAATGCAAATTTACAGCCACTAATTCCTCATCCTTGGCTGTCAATGTGAGTGGTTTTAATGTTTGGTTTCTTATTGTTTTAAGCTTTTTGCTTTGAACATAATTGGTCTACTGTATGTTCTCTTACTTATCCACATTTAAGACAATGCTTTATATGTTAAAAAAATGAAATTAAAAATAGTATATGGGTACTCTCTCTTGTCCACAATTTACTAATTTTTTTTTCCAATGTCCTTAAACTATGTGAAAGAAATAAAAGTATCATCCGTTTATAGTTTGACTTAAAAATGTCTTTACTGTCAATGTTTTGGTTCAAAAATACCCTTGCAGTCAATACTTTGGTCCAGAAATGCCCCTATAGTTACAAAATGGGTCAAAATACTCTTTTTCGAATAAATATATTATTTTTTTCTTTTTAAACACATCTTCTTCCTAATTAAAATATTATTGAAGAACACTATTCTTGTTTTCTTTCTTCTTAAAATCACTTTAACAAATTAATGAAAATGTAGGCAATATTTTATTTTCTTCTTAATCTCATTTTAGCAATTAAAATAGAATTCGACAGATAATATATGTCATATATATAAGATCATAGTATATCCATCATTAATTTATATTTATATAACGATAAAAAAAAATAATGATAATAAAATAAGAAATATTCTCATTTTTTATTTTTTTCTGAATTGAAGTAAGATAAACATTTGCTATTTTTTTAAAAATTATTAGAAAAAGAATGTGTGAAAAATAATAATATATTTATTTGGAAAATTGAGCATTTTTGACCCATTAAAAAATAAGGACATTTTTGGACCAAAGTATTGACAACAAGAGTATTTTTGGATCAAACTACAAACGGAGGGTTCTTTTGTTCCTTTCGCATAGTTCAAGGACATTTTTAAATAAAAAATATTAACGGTAAGGACATTTTTGAGACAATTAAATATATTATATCTCTTTTTTAAAATATGTTCTTTTCCTAATAATGATATTTTCATTAGAAAATGTTTATCATACTTCAATTTATAAAAAATATTAATAAATAAAAATGTTTTCTATATTTATAGAAATTTTTTTATCGTTATCTAAATGAAAATTAATGACGGGATTACTATGAGGACATATAATAAAAGAAGTTGAGTTTGGTGTGGAGCGATATTTGGGAAAAAAATAGAGAGCAAATCGCTCATAAGTAGCGAGAAAAAAAAGATAAAATAAAAGAGAAAATCACTCTTAAGTCAGCGAGATGATCAATTTTTTGTTGGGTTTTAAAGGTGTGAACAGGAAATGAAGGGTTGTGACTTTGCCGAAAGGTTGTGACCTTTATGAAAGGTTGTGTCTTTCCTAAAGGGTTGTGACCGTTGGAAAGGTTGTGCCTTTTCCAAAGTGTTGTGACCTTTATGAAAGATTGTCTTCTTTCCTAAGATTTATACCCTTTGTTGGCTATAAATAGAGAGTCTTTCTCTCATTTTTCTGGATTGAATTCTTCCCTTCTTTTGCATACATTTCTTACAAAACAAAATCGATCGATCGTGTCTGTGTGTGTAATTCGTTGCTGTCATTTTGAGTTCGTTGAAATTATTGAAGTTTGAGGTACCACTACTTCTTTAATGGTTCAACCGTTTTATCTTGAGAGGAATTAATCTGCAACCTCGGGTACTTGAGGGGATTAAATTTCTTAAAGGACACACAATGGGTTCTGTGGACTCGGATTGCTTTTTCTTTTCATCTTTTATTATTTCTGGTTTGCTAATCATATAATACTAAAAGTGGGAAGCTCCAAAGTGCAAAGTTGGATTACCATTTTACCCCTACACTAAATTAAAATGTTATAAAGTATTTAACTAATTAAATATTAAATGATATCATATTATACTAATAAGCATATTAATATTTATGTTTATTATTCATTAGTAACACGTCTGAGTTCAAATAATCAAACACTTGGAGAAAATGAAAAGTTTATTACACAATCTCATAATAATGCTAAAGTAGAGCAGTTACAAAGAGACTGTTCAACTTCTTTTTTTTAGTCTCTTTTTATATGGAAAGTAGCTTCTTATATTTTGGTGGGGATTTGTTTTGCCCATTTGTTGTTAATTGGTTTTAAGGATGTCTTCTTCTGTTCCTTTTTCATGATATATATCCATTGTCAAATGCAACAGGCTTACTGTTAAGCAGTTTCTTCGCCATAAAGCTCAAATTGCACATTTGGTTCAATGAAGGAGAGGTAATTAACCATCTTTTTCACATGCTATATATTACTTGTGACAAGTTTAAATAAAATAAATCTGGACTTTTTTTATTGAACACCACGAAGAAGCAATTAACTTTTACCATCATATTATCATGTGAAGGTACACATAGTGCAGCTAACTAATCATATAATTCAATACATATTATTATGTGGTTGCTTCTCCTTTCTAATTGACAAATTGCAAACTTCCCTTTGTTTTATAACCGTGCTCATATTTTTATTTTAACATAATAACAGGTATCGGATATAACAGATTTGTACAACCTTCTGTGCATGGACGAAGTACTTCAGACATAAAAGATCGATCGATAAGATAGGAGTTAAAAAAATTATTGTTTGGTAAATACTTTTCAACTCCTGATGACTTTGTGATTGTCAAGGCATGAAAAGTATAAGGAGAAATTGTTGATTTTAAATTATGTCTTATTTGTATGTATAATTCTTGTAGTGTATCATAATTAACCATTTAATTGTTAATTAATCTGGATTATAGAATATAGAGGTATTGTAATTTTAGTGAAGTAGAATGTATCCTCTCTTTTTTTCTGTGGTGTTAAAATTTTAATCTCATTTAATATTTTTTGTATTTATTTCTTTAATTATTTGAGACTACGAGAATAAAATCTTTGAAGCGACATCTCTAAGTAAATACCTGGCTTGGCTGAGAAAAGTGGAATATAATATTTGATTAGGTAGTGCAAGTTGATTTTATATTTTATTTAATCTGATAAAGTATTTCTAAATCTAAACAAACCATCCTAGCTGTGCTCTATTTGCAGGTTTTGTAAAATATATGTATTTCTTCATGTTTTCTTGTAATTTTGAATTTTTTACATGCATTTATGAGGATTCAAGATTTCATTAATATATTCATGCTATTAGAGGCTATTACATCGTCCCACTATTATGAATTTCTTAATGAATAAATTTAGATACCTTGATTTTAGCATTTTTATTTTATAACTTAAAACTTTTTAAATATGCACAAAATTTATAACAGTAGGAGGCTAACGTGCAGCGCACGTTTCCAAAGACTAGTCTGAATATAGGAGACAACAACCTTGAGAAATTTATATTGATGGTATTTTTTGTGGTAAGGAAATTAAATCGATTGTCTATTGTCGCTAAATGTTTTTGCGTCTATATTAGGAAAATTTATCCCCACTAAATTAAATATCTCAATTGAACATTTATCTTCAATTTTGAATAATATGCATATTATTTTGCGCAAATATGAAAAGAAATTCATATTATTTTGTGTTAGTGTGGCATTTTATTAGTATAAATTTAACATATGCATCTTCGCATTGCTGCATTAAAACGTTGGAGGCATGTGTCCCTAATTACTCCATTTGGATTCAATGCTCAATGGACGTGGTTGCCATGACCATTAGTTCTTCATTCAATCTCATATTATTTTACTCAATTCTTGTCTAGAGTTTGTCGAATTACAATTTGTGTTTCAGTTAATTTTCAATTTTCAATTTTCAATTGTGATTTGTAATATATAATTTCACCAACATTTCATACAATGAAAAAGGTCCAAAAATTCTCTTAATATGGAATAGAGGGAGTAGTAATTTCGGTTTGGTGGACCGGTCTAATTTAATTCGTTATTTGATTTTGGAGCCTAGTTAGAATGAGGCTGCAATACTTAATTATTTCAGATTCACTCGGAATTTTTGCAACAATCGTAGGAGGTATGATGTACATATACTTATTTCAAGGGAGTGTAACACTTTTCAGTTTGAGCCATTATATCAAAGTTGTACAATTAGAACCTCGATATGATCTTATCTTGTTTATCATTGATCAAGATGGTCTTTTTTGCTTTTATTGAGGATTCTTTTTATTGTTCTTTGACACTTATAGTAGAGATTAGAGGTATTTGACCCTCATAAGATATTGCAATTTTAGATAGTATATCCAAATATAACTTATAATCAAATCAAAACAAGAAATTTCAAAAAAGTATAATAACAAACGAAAACAACGTCCTGACTAAACAAGAATTTCTTCGCATTGAATGTTATATAAATTATTGACGAATAGATAGGTGTAGTACATGACTTCTATAATTTGTGATATTCCCAATATATACATACCTGTCATTGTTTTTGCCTTAAATTCCCATGTGCAACTAGTAGTTGTACTTTGACTAGCACATCTAATATCAATGTATTATTCAATATATATACTATAGAGTTAATTGGACTTACCATTAAAAAAAATGATATCAACTATTTCAAAGAAGATTATCAAACCTTTTTCTCCCACCCCATATACTAAAAGATGGCACAATCTTTCCCTTCTTGATCAATTTTTTGGTAACATTTATGTGCCCTTTGTTTTTTCTACCCAAAACATCAAGTGGCTACCATCCCAAAACACCAATTATCTAAATTTCTAACAATTTCTTTGTCAAAAACTCTTACATTTTACTATCCATGGGCAGGAAGTCTAAAAAACAATGCTACTATCCAGTGTGATGATCATGGTGCTGAGTTCTTTGAAGTCGAAATCAACTCTTCCATGGACAAAGTTATTAATCACCCTGATTTGACATTCCTACAAGGTTTATCTTGTAGGGATTCGTCGTCATCAACATTTGGTCCCTTAACTCTTGCACAATTAAGCCATTTCGAGTGTGGAGGAATCGCTCTTAGTTTTTGCATGTTGCACAAGGTGCATGCATAGTGTTAGAGTTTGTCATGTATTTTTTATATTAGTTTTCGAATATATAGGTCATTTGATCAAATCATATGAAACATTATGTTTTTATTTTAGAATATCTTTTACTTTTGCTTCTGATTTATCGTCCTTCAACATTTACAACTATTACTTTTCACATGACATATTGTTATTTCTCTCCTAATAGGTGGGAGACGCGTGCAACGCTTACTTCTTCTTGAGGGATTGGGCTAGGTTAACTCGAGATCCAAAATCAACATTATCTCCTCCATACTTTGCTAAGGATTCACTAATGCCATCACCATTTGATGGTCCTCTGGTTTCCCCTGTTGTCTAGCCGAAAATGGAAGGATGGATCCATCAGAGGTTCATTTTCTCCGAATCCAAGATAAACACGCTTAAAGCCTTGGTTGCTGCAGAATCCGAATATTAAAGGATGACATTCATACTAAATCACATTTTAATTCCAAAAAACAACTTTAAAATCATTTTAACGACCTCAAAGAATCATAATTACATAGCAACGTATACCAAAATAATCCAATCATTAGAAGTCTAATTTTCTGACTCAAATTTAATTACATGCCTTTTTCACCTAACATGATCTAACCTTAAAAGGAACTAAATTTGGGTGGTACTTTCATTGTTGAGCGATGTGATAAAAAGAAAGTCAAAGTACACACAATATTCAGCACTAACAAAGTTCTGGGAAGGACCACACCACAAAATAGGGCACATTTCACTTTCATTGCTCTAATTTTTGAAAATGGAACACTTTGATTTTCTCTTGCCCAGTCAAAGATGCCAAATATCACTTTCATTGCTCTAATTTCTCTTGTTGACAATACATATAATTATTACTTTTAGACTTTTCTCCGTAGATATTTTCCCACAAGTTGTGTAATGGTTGTTGAGCTTTAATACATATTTCAACAATCAGACAAGTGGACCCTTTGAACACACTATTTATCTCTACTGCTTCTGAGTGTATATCTCTTATTCCAATATACAGCCTCCTCTTTTTTTCAATCAAAACTAGTTATTCCTCTTTTCCAGATAAAAATCAACACTCCTGAAGATGGCTGATGCCTTTCTGTCATTTGCAGTTCAAAAATTGGGTGATTTCCTCATTCAACAAGTTTCCCTGATATCAAATCTGAGAGATGAAGTTATATGGCTGAGAAATGAGCTACTCTTCATACAGTCTTTCCTCAAAGATGCAGAACTAAAGCAAAGTGGAGATCATAGAGTTCAACAATGGGTGTTTGAGATCAACACTATTGCTAATGACGCTGTTGCTATACTCGAGACTTACAGCTTCGAGGCTGGTAAAGGTGATGTTGATGAATTTGCTAGTCGTGTCAAGACTTGCGTTTGCATATATAGGAAGGAGAAGAAATTCTACAATGTCGCCGAGGAGATTCAATCACTCAAGCAGCGAATCATAGATATCACTCGCAAACGAGAGACTTATGGTATTACAAATATCAATAGTAATGCAGGAGAAGGAACAAGTAATCAGGTTACAACATTGAGGAGAACTACCTCATATGTGGATGACCAGGATTACATTTTTGTTGGACTTCAGGATGTTGTACAAAAATTGCTAGCTGAACTTCTCAAAGCAGAGCCTCGTCGAAGCGTCCTCTCCATTTATGGCATGGGGGGATTAGGCAAGACCACTCTTGCGAGAAAACTTTACAACAGTCCTGATATAGTCTCTAGCTTCCCTACACGCGCTTGGATATGTGTTTCTTAAGATTACAACACAATGGATCTTCTTAGGAATATCATAAAATCCATCCAAGGTTGCACCAAGGAAACTCTAGATTTGTTGGAAAGGATGACAGAAAGAGATTTAGAAATTTACCTTCGTGATCTATTGAAAGATCGCAAATACCTTGTGGCGGTTGATGATGTATGGCAGAGAGAAGCATGGGAGAGTTTGGAAAGAGCATTCCCGGGTGGCAAGAATGGCAGCAGAGTCATTATTACCACGCGCAAAGAGGATGTTGCTAAAAGAGCAGACAACAGAGGTTTTGTTCATAAACTTCGTTTCTTAAGTCAAGAAGAAAGTTGGGATCTCTTTCGTAGGAAACTACTTGATGTTCGATCAATGGTTCCAGAAATGGAAAGTCTAGCTAAGGATATGGTGGAAAAGTGTAGAGGCTTACCTCTTGCAATTGTTGTATTGAGCGGACTACTTTCCCATAAAAAGGGGCTAAACGAATGGCAAAAGGTGAAAGATCACCTTTGGAAGAATATTAAAGAAGATAAATCTATTGAAATCTCTAACATACTATCCTTAAGCTACAATGATTTGTCAACTGCGCTCAAGCAGTGTTTTCTCTACTTTGGTATTTTTCCAGAAGATAAAGTGGTCGGGGCAGATAACATAATACGGTTGTGGATGGCGAAGGGTTTCATACCCAGAGGAGAAGAAAGAATGGAGGATGTCGCTGAAGGCTTCTTGAATGAACTGATAAGACGAAGCTTGGTTCAAGTGGCTTATACATTTTGGGAAAGAGTTACTGAATGTAGGGTTCATGATTTACTCCATGATCTTGCGATACAAAAGGCATTGGAGGTAAACTTCTTTGACATTTATGATCCAAAAAGTCACTCCATATCCTCTCTATGTATCAGACATGTGATTCATAGTCAAGGAGAAAGGTACCTCTCACTTGATCTTTCTAACTTAAAGTTGAGGTCAATTATATTCTTCAATCCAGATTTTCGTAAGATGAGTCTTATAAACTTCAGGAGTGTGTTCCAACATCTATATGTGTTGTACTTGGATATGAATGTTGGGAATATGTCTATAGACGTACCTGATGCCATAGGAAGTTTGTACCACCTCAAGTTGTTAAGCTTGAGAGGTATCCGTGATGTTCCCTCTTCCATTGGCAACCTCAAGAATCTACAGACACTTGTTGTCAATGAGGGGGCATACTCTTGCAAACTACCCCGCGAGACAGCTGACCTGATAAATCTAAGACATATAGTTGCTCGGCATACAAAACCTATGGTACATATAAGCAAACTCACTAGTCTTCAAGTTGTTCAAAACATCTGTTGTGATCAGTGGAAAGATGTTGACCCAGTTGATTTAGTCAATCTTCGAGAATTAAGCATGGATGATATTAAGAAATCTGAAGTAAAACGAACTGAAACAGAGTTAACACAAAATCTCCATTAACAAGGAGCTAAGATAGAAGAAGAGAAACTCTCATTGTTTGAGTTCAAAGACTAACTTTTACAATGCTGAAAAGTACTATTTATAGAATCTAACTTCTAATCAAACTAACTAACTAACTTGAAGAATTAGTTGTAACAAACAATATAAAAGGTCTATACTACCCTTGAGCATCTTGGTGAAATAACTAACTCCTTAACTACCTTACACTCATATCTCATCACTCCCCTTCAAGTTAGGTGGGGCAAAAAATATTTAAGACACCTAACTTGGATAAGAGATATTCGTGTTGATACTTTGATAGCCCTTTTGTCAATACATCTGCAGGCTGCTCTTGTGTAGGAAGGTAGTTAACTTTGATCAAACCTTGTTGTAATCTTTCCCTTATAAAATGACAATCGATTTCAATATGTTTTGTCCTCTCATGATATACCGGATTTGCAGCAATCTGTATGGCAGCTTTACTATCACTATACACTTGAACTGGTAGCTGCACGTCAACTTCTATTTCTCTAAGTAATCCAAGTAACCAAATTAACTCTGACACAGTGGAGGCAAGACTCCTATATTCAGCTTCAGCTGAGCTCTTGGAAACTATAGTCTGCTTCTTTGCCTTCCATGACACCAAAGAGTTCCCTACCTTAACCACATATCCTGTTACTGATCTTCTGGTAAGTGGACAAGATGCCCAATCTGCATCACAAAATGCAGTGACTACTTCATCAGAAGAGCTAGGAAACAATAACCCCTGCCCAGGCTGTTTTTTCAAATATCTCACTACTCTTAAGGCTGCATCCATGTGAGATTTCTTTGGCTGTTGTAGGAACTGACTTAGGTTCTGTGTGCTGAAAGACAAGTCTGGTCTTGTCATGTTCAGATACAACAGTTTTCCAATTAATCTTTGATACATTGTCTGATCTACTAGAGGATCTTCAGGAGCTCCATGACTTTTCTCATGTTCATCATATAGTTTTGAGGTTAGTTTAACATTAACATCAATAGGAGTACCTGCAGGCTTAGCTGCTGACATCCCAACCTCAGCTATAAGTTCCAAAGCATACTTTCTTTGATGCATCAATATCCCTTCTGCTGACCTAGTGAACTCAATGCCCAGAAAATATTTCAATTCACCTAAGTCCTTCATTTTAAAAGCCTGCTGCAATTCCAGTTTTGTCTTCTCTATTAACTTCAAGCTGCTGCCAGTAATCATCATATCATCCACATATACTAACACCACAACAATGCCTGCTTCTGATTTATTGACAAATAAGGAATGATCATATTGACTTTGTTTGAAGTTAAGAGTAGTAAGAGCTTCAGTCAGCTTATGGTTCCACTGCCTTGGAGCCTGTTTGAGCCCATATAATGACTTTGTTAGTTTGCATACTTTCTCCCCTTGACTAACAAAGCCTTGAGGGAGCTTCATATAAATCTCATCATCAAGATCACCCTGCAAGAAGGCATTGAACACATCCATTTGATGAATGTGCCAATGTCTTGAAGCAGCTAAAGACACCACTGTCCTCACAGTCACCATCTTCACAACAGGGGAAAAAGTTTCTTGATAGTCGATACCTTCCAGTTGACTATATCCCTTAGCAACTAGCCTTGCTTTAAACCTTTCTATCTCTCCTGTGGACTTGTATTTAATCTTGTAAACCCACCGACAACCAATAGGTTTCTTTCCTGGTGGTAGCTCAGTTATCTCCCAAGTCTTATTATCTTCAAGGGCTTGAATCTCAGTTTGCATAGCATCTACCCACCTAGTGTCTGTCACAGCCTCTGAATAGGTGGTAGGTTCTCTAACTGAGGATGTAGCAGCAATGTATGATTGATAAGTAGGAGAAAGATGACCATAACTGATATAATTGCACACAGGATACTGCACTTTGGAATGCAATTTGGAGGAAACAAAATCTTTGAGCCATGTAGGAGTATTTTTAGTTCTGGTAGATCTTCTGGGATCAGCTGGTATAACAGCATCTGTGACTGCTGGAACTGGTTCCCCAACTGAATCAGAAACATCTGAAGAAACAATCTCAACATCTGGTAGCACAGATGAGCCTTCAAGACAAGATAGTTCATCATTGATAGAACTAGGTGTTTGGAAAAATTGAGTAGTGGAGGTATCAAATAGAGCA